GAATGTCCCCACTTTCCTTGATGAGTCCTTGGCTGGTCCCCTACAATTCCTTTTTAAACATCAATCTTTGTACTAAAAATTTCTTTCCATCATGATTTGTGGACATTAAGATCTAAAGAGAAGCGCCACCTCCTGGTCAGACCCTGTAATTATGTGAAAGGCTGTAATCAGACTAAAAAATATGCACGGCAAAGAGAAGGCCAGTGCCATTTGGCTGTTGCCAATGGCTGCTTCTGTAATTAAACATAACATGAGTAGAGAATGAGGGAAATTCAAATTCAATTTCTAATGTTCCAAGTTTCAGCCCATAAAAAGTCAAATAAACACAAAACAAAAAGAGTGAACAGAAGAGAAAATGAGCTAAAACATGGATTTGAGAATGAGTTCATTACAACCAGATCATTGGAGGATCTGGTTGTACTGTAAAGTGTCTTGAGATGACTTGTGTTGTGAATTGGCGCTATAGAAATAAAGTGAATTGAATTACCAATCTGTTTGGCTGCCTGAAGCAGGCTCTTCAGTTCCTGACTGGCAGCTTTGTCCTGATGTTCAGAGCAGAAGTGGACAATCTTCTGCCAGGTCAGCCCCTCCCTGGCAAACAGCTCCTGTCGCTTCAGTCTCTTTGTCTGCCAAAAGAAAGAAGAAAATTACTCTCTAGTCTTCCTTTAGAGCCGGCGGATCACTGAAACATCAGCATTCAGCATCTGAAAACCAACAACAGTCTGAGTTTTACTGACATATTTACACACAGAGCAACTTTACCAAAAAGGAGAATTTCAAAAACTATAGACAATAAAATGATAATGTTCTGGAAATGCATTCTAAAGTCACCAAGAACACATTGGTGTATCCCATCAGGGGAGCAGGGTGGGAGCATTTTACATTTATACTGTTGGAGTGGGACTAGAAACCAGGCTGAGAAGGAAAGAGCTGCAGCAGATGTTCAGACTAAAGCAACTTATGGGTCTGAAAAGACTTTACTCAAAAGTTTCAGAAGCAACAGCTGAAAGCAGCGATTACAGGGTAGAGGGGAGTAAATAAACGTTTCATCACTAAGAGAAACATCAAAACTAGCCTTCCTTGGACGAAGGAGTTCAAGCATACGACTTTAAACACCAGCAGAGATTAAACCAAGCGCAGCTTTTAGGGAAGGAACCTCTGAGATAGAGTCTGGTCTTATAGGACATCCATCTATAAAGTGAAATATGGGCTTTATTTTGCTCCATTATTTTGGATCTTTAATGAACAGAGTGCCATATGAAGCCTCGTCCATTTTTCACCAGTATTTAAGGAAAAGTTCAGTCATCCGGGAATAATCAATGGATCATTATTTATACCTTAAACTAATACGTTTGTGGTGATTTAATTAATGTAGCGTTAATCAGTAAAAAAATAAAAACAATTTTCATCACGTTAACTGAATCTGGGAGCGGCCATTTTTGCTCAAATATAGTAACCCCTCCCTCCTGCCATCTTCCAGCAGTGACGTCA